TAACGGGTCTTCAGTTTTTTTTCTATTTTTTCCTGCCAGTTTGATGGGGTGGAAGTCTAGCGCCCCCTGCTGACAGGCTGTTACTCTGTGTTATTATTATTAGGTTATTAAATGAAGAAGTGATAGAAGCTCAGCCTGCAGCTGATGTTCTCTGGACGAGGCTCACCTTGTAGATGCCGTTCCTTCCATAGCCGGGCAGCGAAGCAGACTTACTGTAGGGGAAATCTAGGAGGAGACAAAATATTCATTTTGCTTTTCTTAAACTTTGATCATTGAACATCAAGGTGAAGTGATGATGGTTTCCTCACTTGGCTGAGACACGTTAGTGGGGAGGCTGCAGGTGGATTTACAGGGATCCAGGTCTTCAGCCATCGGACCGTCCATCTCACTCTTCAACATCATCCAGCTGGTTCTCTACAGAGACGGTGAAGGACAGAGAAGAGGAACTGGACACAGTATTCCACAGAAATAATGGATGATGGTTGTTAGTTAATGGATGCTGGAGGACAGATGTGATGCACATGGAGTGTCTGAAGCACCCACCTTGCTATCCTCCCCATCCTGCCAGGATGTTCTAGAAGCTGTAAAAAAGTCAGATGTTTCAGTCAATGCACAGCTTCATGGTCCTGGGAGACAAACTGTCCTGCACTACCGACTCCAGTCAGGCAGGAGCAACACTGCTGCACCACAGGGAGCTTCAGTCCACCAACAGGCTTCAGACCAACAGCACAGAGAAGAAGCTGAATGCTGGTTATACCCCAACAGAAAGGGGACAGATGGAGCGCCAGGACACTTTCACATTATAACCTTCTTCTCCGTTGGTCCCCAAGGAGCCTTAGAGAGGGAAACTTCTCAATTTCACTATTAGAAAATAAAGAGAAGTTTTCTAGAGAGCAACCACATCAAAAACCTCCAATTATGAACAGCAACCTCTGTTCTCAACAAGAACATGGTGGATCGGGTCGGCTGGAACCCACAGAAGGTTCTGGACAACGTGGGACTCTAATGGTTGAATACTTTTAAATGGGTGACTGGGATTGGCTACAGATATCAGGGGCCATCATCAGCTGACCTTTGAACCGCGGATCTGTGGTTCTGGTCATGGATCTATGGGGATCAGGGTTACTGGGGGCCCTTTGAGGAGGGTCTCTAACAGGATCTCCAGCCCTGGTCCTCCTGATCTTTAGATGCATCCCTGTTCCTACAGCTGAAGCCAAGGAGTCTTCATGCAATCTGGGATGATAAAGGTCAGCCAACGAACCGTTCAGGGATGCAGCTGGGATAAGGATGCATCTAAAACCTGCAGGTCATTAGATCTGGAAGTCCAGGCCTGGAAACTCCTGTCTGGCTTCAAGGGGCGACACTAAACCATGCCCCCGCAGTCCAGTGGGCCTATCCTGGGAACCAGTATCCCATCCGGACCACAGCCTGGACACCAGAGGAGGACTTGGTCTGGGTTTGGAGGAAATCCTGGAGCCATCCTCTTCCAGGGAGGGGTCTGGTCTCCAAAGTCTGGTTCCCAGTTTGCTCCTTCAGTCAGCATTGAGGGTCAAGTTTCTGTAGGTCTTCCAGGTCTTTGGTAGCAGGTTGAGTTTCTTCATGGTGTGTTTTGAAAAAGAAACAGCTGAGTCATGATTTTCTGACTCCCATCTTTGGTCGTTAGAAATGGATCCAGGCTGAGAAAAAGATCCCATATACATAAAATTACAATTAGCTTCCTTTGTTGAGGCAGGATGGATCATTGAGAGACGGAGGTAGAGAAGTTAAGGCGATTGAGAGATGCATTCTGGGTAACCAACATTTCTACAGTGATGTGCTTCAGAGCCACATTAGTGACTTCTGCCTGTAAGACGAGTTCTTCCGTCCCTCAGACATCCAGGCTTCCCTCCTGGAACCAGACCTGGACTAAGTGAAGCTGATCGATGAATCCATGAATTTCTGAGACCAAACGTTGAATGTTGGTGAATCTAATGGGGAGGGGCTCGTCCTGCTATCGGAGAAGCTTGATGGCGTTCTGCAGTTAAAGGGTTAAAAGTTTCAGAACAGCCCTAACCCTCCAACCCTCCATCCTTCTGGGCAGTTCAGTGTTTCACTTTCAGAAACGTTTCCACTCAACTTAAGGAACAGGGCAGATTTCGGGGGGGTGGGACCAATCAGAGTGTTTAGCTGACAGGAGCTTGAAGGTCGTTAAGCTTCTGAATGAGGAGCAGGAACGTCTCCGACACGAAGGTAGAAATAAATGCAAATCTTTGAGGGATCTTTGCTGCGGGGGTTTGATGGCCACGCGTTTGGGTCTGATGGTTGCTCTAAAGAAAACTCCCCAGAATTTAGATTTATAACAATTACACAAATATAAAGAGATAAAGAAATCCTTTTTGGATGCGTGGTTTTTCCTTAGAGGACAGAGTTTTCTTCCCTCTTCTTCCTGAGAAAACAGCTTCAGACCAGCTGCAGCAACCAGCCAGACAGCAGAACATTGAACAATGAGACAGTGAAGAGGTCAGCGAGGGTCACAGCCGGGCCTCCAACCCGACCAATGAGCCGCTGAGACGGATGCTAGCATGCGTGATTCGGAGGTTAATGGAGGACAGATGAACCGGTCTGCTCTGAGCGACGGAAACGTGGCTGGAGGAACTTTAGAGCTCCGTTCAACCCGACATCAGGTTGTCATGGAGATTCCTGTCAACCCTCCAACTTTCCACCAGAAACAGCAACTATCTGATTTCTATAACTAGATTGAGAAAACGGTAGATTTGATGGAAGTGATGGTTTTAGCTCAACACTGGAGGTTCAATAAGCAGCTCAGATTAAATGGACAGAAGTTTTTAGGCCATTCTAACCCCTCCACCTCCTGCTGGAAGGTCAACCTCCATCTATTCTCCTCCAGCATCTAACCATCAACTCCAACCAGCAGAGAACAGCCACCCCCAGCATGATGCTGCCACCACCCTGTTATTGATTGAGGGGGGAGCTTTGGTTCCCTTCAGATGGAGTCTTTGCTCATGAAGTATCAGCATAAAGCTGCGTCGCTCTTTTACAGAATCCCGTTTCCTCGATCAGAGCATGAAGGACACCTCAACAAAGGGAGACACTTAAACCAAACCAGAGGAGAACCATGGGGGAAACAAGATGGCCGACATGCAACACATCGTGCAGAGACCAGACCAGAGAGTTAGAGTGGACTGTACCATGCTGTCTGTAGATGGGGGGCTTTCTATAGATATTATCTTTGACCATAGTCTCTGAAGATGGAGCAGAGAAAAGATGGAGGAAGCCAGCATGGGTGGGGGGGTAAAGGGCGGGAGAGAGAATGGAGAAAAAGAAGCACGAGTCAGCATTTTATTGAAGGATGAACATAAGGGGGGGGGGCTTCATCTTCATGCAGCCTGTTAGAGAAAACATCTGTCTCTGGAAGATCCTGAGGAGTGATGGATGAGGAGCCTCTGGAGCAGATAGGGGGCGCTGTCCCCAGGAACAGGAGCATTTCAGCAGGGGGGGGGGGCAGATCATCCAGGAGGTTTCAGCTCAATAGAATAAACTGATGCTTCATGTTAATGTGACCCTGATGATAATATTCCTCTATTGACACTAACTGACCACTAGAGGGCAGAGCGCTCAGAGTGCGGCCATCTTTAGACTGATTCACCATTGGGTCAAAGGTCAGTCATATTTTCATGGGGGAACAGAGGAAAAGCAGCGATTCCATTTCCTGAACTTCTGGAGCTCAGTGATTGGCCAATCCCTCTGGAGCTCAGTGATTGGCCGATCCCTCTGGAGCTCAGTGATTGGCCGATTTTAACCGTCTGGAACGTCCTGATTACGTTTTGCACCTTAAACCAGCTTTCCTGGTTTTACAGGTTTTAATCTTTATTCAATAAAATAAGACTGAAACTTTCAGGGTCCTAAAAGAACTGCTGGCCCCTGCTGGACCCTACTGGCCTCTGCTGGACTCTACTGGCCTCTGCTGGACCCTACTGGCCTCTGCTGCACTCTACTGGCCCCTGCTGGACTCTCCTGGCCTCTGCTGGACCCTACTGGCCTCTGCTGGACCCTACTGGCCTCTGCTGCACTCTACTGGCCCCTGCTGGACTCTACTGGCCG